TCTGTAATGCGCATTATGCATATACTGTGAAGTATATATAGATCCAGCACAAGTTCATACACGATTGTACGCGTTTGTATTTTTGCCCACACGCAATGAGTGGAGCTCGACAGGTGGGGCACCATCGATAATCAGGACCACTTTCTTCAAGTAGTGTGTAATCAGTGCATGCTGATATCTATTAGTGCAGTCTAAAAGAATACTGCCACCCCTGCCATGGGCACTCAACACCCTTGTGCACCCTTCTCGCACCCTCCTCAGAGGGTGCTGAAAAAGTGATGGACATCGAAGGCACCGTTCCTTAAGGGTGTTTTTGTAACACCCTACAGTTTTTTTACATGTACACCCTATTCTAAGGGTGCATGGTAAAGCACCCTTTTTGGAAGGTGCTGAATTAACACCCTTAGGGTGTCGTCCACGGGACAAGCTCATTTACACCCTTCTGGGTGTAAAAATTTTTACTGTGTACGTTCCTGACTGAGAAGAATAACAATTAAAGACACGTCGCTTTAAATACCCTAATAATATTCAGGAGTGCACAGAAGCAATAAAAGACAGCAAAAAAAAGGTTAGCGGCGAAAGTCAGCCACGACTTCTCCTAACGTTACGGACCAGTTCTATTCGTCACTTGCATGGAACATACCCACAGGTCGCGGGATGAAATGTAAGCTGCGGCGGCTGCATTCCCAATTGAGGCGGAAATGCTGTAAGCCTGTTTGCTCAGGTTTGGGTGCTCGCTAAAGAACACCAGGTGGTCGAAGTTTTCGCATCCCTCCTTTACGGCGTATCTCATAATCGTATGGTGGTTTTGGGACGTTAAACATGACATATCATACAACTTGCACGCAACATAAAGGTCACTTTTATCTTTTTTTCCTCGCATTAAGGATCTGCCTAATCACTGGCATAATGCAGTGATGCCACACTTTCCGGATGTCATCGACATTAGATAATCAGAAATGGTCATAAAAATTAAGCACTGCTGTTCGAAGAATGGATTTAAAAGCATAGTTATCTCATCCAGCACTCCCTCTTCCTCGAAACATAACCACCAGCATTCGCTTTCTCTCTCTCTCTCTTTTTCTAACGTAACGAACCCATTGAAGCTTCCATCTTCGTGTAATTTTAGGCACTGAGCATGTACATGCTGTATAACGATTGGATAAACGTTGAGAAAGTGAGCTGGATCGCGTAGAATTTCTGACCTTCCTATATACACCTTGTGGTTGGGAGTTTGATCCATCGAGACTTTTTTTCGAGCATGAGAGAGAGAGAGAGAACAAAAGCAGTGGCGTTAGACAGACTGTACCAGTTTCGCTACCGTACATGGGGAGGGGGAAATGGAAGGAAAAGAATATATGAAGCAAGGAGGTAAGAGGGAACAAGTGGGCGCGCATACATGTCAGCATTTACCGCGCACACTTGGAAAGCCACAAATGGAAAGTGTTTGAGACCAGTTTCTTCGCGATTTTTTAAATGTAGACTTTAGTCCGACATGTTGAAATAGGCTTGCAAGGACTGGCTCCAAAGAATCTGGAAATCGCAGTGCGCATCTAGCTGATGGAGTATTCATTCACTTGAGAAGAGTACTGTGAGACACACGTGTGCTATGCATATGTACGTTGAAGAGCATTAGTTGGCCCAAATTCTCACAGCCCCTGCTTTGCGGCATGCTTCGAGATCTTATCTGTTTTTGGGACATAAAAACTAATATATTCGTTCTTGCATTACGTTGCTTTCACAGTGAAATATGCAACCCTTTCTCGAAAGCCGCAATTGAAAAAGAAATTGAATCTTGGCAAGAATTTTTCAGAAGAACCGAGATTCGCCACGAAAAAAAGAAAGAGAGAGAAAGCCAAAGACGAAGGGCACGATACAAACCAGTACTTCCTCCATTTTTCTAAATGCCAGTCAGATGCACCCCTTTCAGCCAATCAGCACCTTCTAATGTAGTCATTTTCTGCCTTCACTCATCGAGTAGCTTTAGCGTGTGCTTTGTGGTCACCAGAGAGAGAACCTATCATGTAGTGCCTCACGACGAAAATTATATTTAGTAATTTTGTTTCAGTTGCGTGCTGTTTCGTGGGGCGGCGTCTCGCATTCCTCGTGTTCACAATGTTGGAGGTCATGCTGGCTGTGTAAAATATACAGTGTTTTGAGATAGCGTGTCACCATTCGTGGCGATATGCTCTATGGAAAGCAGTGTGAAAGCGCCACTGGGACGCTGCTGCATGCGCTTACATTAGGAGTGCCGTGAGGAGGTGGCGGCATTGCTTCGAGCGACAAAGAAGGAACACGAAAGAAAAAGTCTGACAGGCGTATGATATTGGACTTGGAAAAACGTCTATCGCATCTCCGTAGGAAAGCACTCGGACACACGTGTGACGCAAGCCGCCCTGTACCCTTCATGTGGCGTCGCATCACGACCTCTCCCTGAAATAAGGTGGACAGACGGCTCCAGTTGAGGAGCGCGCGTTCCTACTGGCATTGAAGTACATAAAGGAGTTGTTGGTTCAAACTACACCACCTTCCTTTCTTCACAAACCTTTTAGGGCGAAGCTCTCTATAGCACAACTGTTCGTCCTTCGTAGCCGTTGTAGTGTGTAACAAGTATAACATTTTGACCTAAAAAGTGGTGCCGGTGAGAGTTTTCTTCTGTGCGTTGTTCAACAATAAAAAATAGTGCTCAATATTCATGCCAATGGCTGCTGATAGGGAATGAGAGACAGGAGAATTCGGCTTTTAGTTAAAGCCCACGCGGCGATCCCCATTAGCAGCCATTGGCATGCACTTTGAGCACTATCTGACAAGAAAGGGTTGCTACGTTATACTCGCTGGGTGTGACCTCCTTTCTTTTAGAAAGGTTTAGCGAGCGTTGAGCCACAGTGCCATGAATACAATGAAATAGTATATACCATGTACTCGAGGTGGTTAAAGGTGGGAATACGATACGAATCGCAAGCAGTAAGAAAGTAAAAGCCGAATTCTCCTGTCTTTCATTTCCCATTAGCAGCCATTGGCATGTACATTCAGCACTATCTGACAAGAAAAGGTTGCTACGTTATACTCGGTGGGCGTAACCTCCTTGGTTTTGGAAAAGTTCAGCGAGCGTTGGGCTGCAGTGCCATGAATTCAGTGAACTAGTATATACCATGAACTCGAGGTGGTATGAGGTGGGAAGTGGACCCGAAACGCAAGCCGTAAGAATGTGTGCATGTGTCACCTCTCGTTTAGTCCTTGGAATGTCCGCTGGATGGCGGTGCTTCTATATGGGGAATATATGGTGAAAAGATGCGAGATTGAGGTACTTTTAGTGTTGAATAGATGGACGAACGGACACACAGACAGAGGCATGGATGGATGCATGAACGGATGCAGGGGCGGATGCATGGACGAACGCAGGAACCGACGCACGAACAGACGCACGAACGGATGGGCGGGTGGACGCATGGACGGTCACACAGACGGACGCATGGACGGACGCAAGCAAGAACGAATGGACGGACGAATGCTTCGCCCCACTCTCCATCATTCACTCCGTGGATATGCTGCCAAGTTTTTTACTTTCTTTCTTTCTTGGCCTTTGCGCCAATATACTTTCATTATCGGAGCCCGCTATAGCTGAGAGCAGTTGTAGACCCCTGAGGTAGACAAACGGTACGGAAGCAGGTTCGAGAGCATGTACCTTCCAGGCGTCCTGCTCCTTGAGGTTCATCACTCCTCGTCCACAAAGTGTAGTGACGTAGACGTCGCCATCCGCACTCGCACCTACACTTTCGGGAGCACCACTTTTGGAAGCCTTAACTGGCTCTGCCTCATGAGCGCCCGTGCCGCTATTGTAATCGACGATGTCCGGTACTTCCGTTATCCGACAGCACGAAGGCGGCACCGAACAACGCTCTGCGCTGGGATTGGTTGGGCTGCAGTTGAAGTACGGGTTGGCGTTCCAGTCCCGATACGAGTTATCCGTCATACCGCAGCAGTGCAGTGATGACTGCACGTAGTCGATCTCCTGCGATAGCATATGTCATTCAGCAAATTGCAGGAAGTGTATATTAGGCTCAAATTCAAAATTGACTGTATGTGTAGTATGGCTTTGTGCTACAATAGGATGGCTGGTTATTTTCTCATTCGCCACAGTTCATCACCATCACTTACTACCAAACGTGTATTATGCCATATTCAGTGACTTCAGGCTTCCAAATCTCAAACAGTCCGCCTTAGCGCAGCTGATTGCAAGCCACACAGAGAGGTAAATTGGGAGAGTGACTGCACCTGACAGGTGCTCGTCCCGTGTTCGATTAGTGGTACCAACGTCACAGAAACTGTTGTCTGTCTACGCATTAAAATTTTTCAGGGGATCGTCAAGTAAGCTTTTCATGCCAATACTTTTTCCAAAGTGGTTCGTCGGTACATATGGTTATAATCAAAGTCAATATCAACTATAGTTAATTCCTGCCCAAGTGACGACGAGATGATAGGAGGAATTAATATCTGCGTCTCTCCCGTGCCTATTTTATAGTATTTTGGTGTTTCTTATTTACATTGTTTGTTGGCATGTATTTTATTTTTATATAAGCGTCACGCACGGAACAGCGCGAGCAACATCTGCAGTCACAAATACACCACATCTGAGCATGCGCGGCGCTAATCACGTGCCTACCTTGCCATACTGATTCCTGCTTATCACATCCTTTTTGGTTTATCACCACGGAAGCAACAGCCGCTTTGGCTGTCGAAAGTGCTCTGAACAGTTTATCAAAAAAAGCAAAAAGCAAGCAAAAAAATAAAAGGAACCATTCTCGCTGTGATATGATATCACGAAGCGACCAGAAGTTTATAGTACAAGAGGCGCCTATGCAGGCAATTGCTGGTTTTCTTGTTTTTTTTTCGGTTCTGTAATGTTGACAATGTTCTGATGGCCAAAGCAGTCATCGCGAATGACGAGATAACTAAGGCTGGAAACTGCAAGGTAGCCACATCGCTGTCGTTGCGCATGCTCAGATGTTGCGTATTTGCGACCGCAGAAGTTGCTCGTGCTGTTCCGTGAGCGAGGCTTCGTCGTTATAGACATAATAGCCGAGCACTGCACATTGCCTAGACAAAGCAGGTGTCTTAAGAATAAAGAAATGAGGCGGATAATGATAAGCCTCGGTTTTCAAGCAAGCTTTCTGTCTGTTGCCTCAGACTGTGATCCCACCGTTCAAGGTGATCTGTATTAATATTTCGGAGTCTTGGTGAGTGATGAGAAATCTCTCGTGACACCAGAGACACCAGAGTTAAGTAGAAGTGCGACTGGGAAATGCTAGGAACCTTAAGATGACATCTGGGCTCTCTGTGTATCATTTTGTCTGCTCTCAGCCAACACGCGTCTTCGTTTCTGCCAAGATGCAGCCTGTTTTTTTTTTAGATCCCATGTGCTGCAGAGGAGAAGTTCTATCACGCTCGTGGTGTATCGTTCTAATGTTGCAATCAAAGTTTAGCTGGAATTATAAAATACAAGAAGGGAGGGGGGGGAGTAGTGATTACGGTTTTTCTATCTTAATTCGAAAAGCGTGGGTTAAGGTGGCCGCATTTTTATGAAAGCGGAATTCCGGAGTTCCATCTACTGTGCAAGTGCAGTGTGCATTTACGAAATCCTGGTATTCTGAACTTTCGGGAACCCTCCATTACGCCGTCTTGATAGCCGGATTCACTTCTGGTCATAAATTTCACGATCTTGTATTTCTGTTCCGTCGGTGTCTCTCACAGCTATTGGGCAAGCTTGTACAAAGCTCAAATCTGAGGTCTATAACTTGACGAAATCCTGACAAGCAGTCACAAAGCATAATCAACCTCCTAATAAATATGCTGTTCAGATTCCGAGAGTAATGCACCTGGCTTCAGTTCGAAACGTCCTGTGAAAACGAACTGCGTTTTGCGCAAACGTTATATCTCGCACATGTGGATTAAAAATTCATGAACACGGGATGCCGCTTGAGGCAACGTTTCTGAAAACGGCCTAGTATTCTTCAAAACAGCCTTGAGCAGGAAGATAGAGCCTTTCTTAAAGTTAGTTTCAGGACACGCCACCTTCAAGAACTTCTCTTTTTAAGCTCTCCACCCTTCCCTGGACTTCTACCCTACATAACTTTCATTCCAGGCATTAGCCATGATTTCTAACAGCGGAGCTGTTAAAGTTTTTCGCTCCACCGGTTAACGTGACCGGAAAGATAAACTGCAAGAGGTACCCACAGTGCAATAAAATAACAAAATCATTATTGCTGGGGTTTAATGGCCCAAAACAACCGTATGATCATAATACACGCCGTGGTGGAGGGCTCCGGAAATTTCGGTCGCTTGGCGTTCTTTGCGTGCACCTAAATCTTAGTAGACGCTCCTCAGGCATTTTCACCTCCATCTAAAATGGGGCTGGGATTGGATCACGAGACCTGCGGATCAGCATCCGAGTGTCTTAGCGAAAAATTCAGCCAGCACTTCGTTCCTCCTCCTTATCGTCATTCTTCTCTTACGATTGATTTTAAATAAACCGTCTGTCCTTCACGATATACATTTGGGAAATCAAGGAAACTATAGTAAATTTCTTTGTATCAGCTATTAAAATTTCGGATCATAGGGCCCGTGGTCAGCACATTCATACAGGCTAATTCGATGGATGGTACAATGCAGCTGTTTTTGCCATGAGTGTGCTTTTTGAAGAAAATAAAGAAGTGCAGCACAGATAAACGGAACAGAAAAGAGAGAGGCACAGAGAAAACGACAAAAATTGAAAGACACTTTGGAAATTCCGATGAGTGAACGGCAACAGTCTGTGGCCATGTCTGACTTGCCATGTCCTTTCCTTCTTTTCCTATTTGTTGTATTTTTCGTATTTTTGTTTTTTCTCTTAACAATCACGTGATTGATGGGAACGTGTAAGGGGTTAAGCCACAACTATGGTGGAGCAAATATTTTTATGTGCCGTGTGCCATACCGTGAATGTTGAGAGAGGGTAAGGGGGAGAGACCACAGCTGGCACCGTCCCAGGGCACGGATGGAGGGACGAACACACGAAAGTATGGGGGCAATAAACGCTTTTCACTTAAAAATAAACAGTGTGAAAAAGGCAAACAGAAAAAAAACAGAGACTACTTTGCTAATTAAGACCATGCTAATTTAGACATCGCTCGTTATCTAGGTCAGCTAGCTCCCCAATTAGTCCAGCTTTGAACCACTCGCACAAGCTACTCACGTTTTTTTTTTCTTTTTCGAAAAGCACGCACCCTTTGGTAATCCAGCTTGTCGCGATAGTGGACGATGAATTCGGTCGTGATGTGCGAGATGACAAACTCGCGCCCGATTATGGGTAGGAAGAATACCATGACGATGAAGACCGCTTCGGTGGTGACGAACGACCCCTGCAACGTGGTGTACAGATCCAATAGTTCAATGTTCTCACGCAGAGCCCCAATAAAGCCGATGGAAGCTACGATGAAGACGCCCAGCGACAGGACCATGAGCACTATTTCGAGATGTAGCAACAGGTACACCAGCCATGTGTTGGCGGATGTCGCGGTGGGGGTTGACTCCTGGTCAAAGTACGCATAGAGGGCCCCGAGGAAGACCACAACCGAAGCTGCAAAAGAAAAGAATCAAGGTCCAGTCAGATCTACTGATCCAGTACTGTAGAAATAGTGAAGCTTCTGGGGAAAAAATGCAGCGCAAAACCAACGCAAGTGCAGAGATGGAACACAGGACTTTCACCATCCGTCATTGATTTTCTGTCTGTGTGCCGGTTTTACCTACAATTTTTCCTTCAAGAGCCATAAAACAAGGAACTTAAAAATATTCTTCAAACTCTGATGCTCCTCCGACGACAGTCTATCGTGTTTCGATATTTTTCAACATTTGCACTTGTTGGCGTCAAGCTCCGATCTCTCATGTGCGAACAACGCAGTTGGCTCGGCAAGGACAAGCCCGCTCTCACGTCAGCTCTCGCAGACACTCACTTCGGGTGGCTTCTTCCTCTTGGTCGTTATGAAAATGCAAATTCAGAAAGAATCAACGGTTGTTACTATATTTTCCCGAGACAGTCATTGTCCTAGCTCTCGCAAAAAGGCCGGATTTTTCCCCTGAGCCCAACTCTCGTTTCTCTTGAAGCTCCTCTCATTGGTTCGCGATGTTAAAGCAATGTTGGTCTATCTGTCCATTTGTCTGTTTATCCGCCCTTAACGATATTCTAAAATCTAAACGGTTCTAGCAAAAATCAAAACCACTGACCCCATCCGGAGCGTCCATCAATATTGCTCAAGATTTAGCATTCCTACTAGTGCGATTGTCAACTAAAAAGCAATATGTGTGCATGTTTTACTAGGAAAGGCATACTTATGTAATCTCTGAAATGCCTGTAGGCCTTGAGGGTACAAATAAATAAATTCAAGGGACCATAGCGCTTATCACGCTGCGCTGACGATGTAACGCTTGCACGAAAAGGCGAGTGTTTCCAACGCCTTACTAAAACGGCACGGTGGTGGCACCTACCCGTCGCCTTGCGTTCTACACTTCATCACCTCCGAGACGGGCGCGCACGCCGCGCGCGCTTCCTTTTCCGAGATAACTGCCAGATAGCGCTCATGCCTCACGTGTGACGTGACTATGTGCTCGTTCGCCTCAGCTGCACGCTCGGGGCAGTCTGACGCAGCGCCTCCAGAATACCATTTACCGATTTTCTTGCGCAGAACATGAAATAAACGTTTTGTTCACTTTCTCGAGACGCTAGACTATCGTCTTTCGACGACATTTGCAGTATAACATGCAGATTCCGGGCAAATTTTTTTGCATGACCTAAGCTCTCTCCTATCCTGTTTGTGCCCTCGCGGCAGCCTCACCCATTCATATCAATCACAACATCCGACTCCCGTTTGTCGGAACCTCAATCTCGCTAGTGCTACGCCACGTGACCAGCGCTACAATATCGCAATGGGAAGCCTTAACTAAGAATAGCTTACTATTTCAATTTGGCAGCGCGCAAAACTCGTAGACTGTAAGTAAAAAGCCTGCCCAAAACATGTTAAATCAATCAAGTTACGTATTCAGAAAGCAGTCTTCTTGTATGATGTTAGAGTCGCAATGTAAGAGACGCCTAATAATAAATATAAACGGCTTTCTCAGTCAACGGCATTGCCGTGAAATTACAGGTGACCTCAGTTAAGTACCATCGTCATCTCCGAACTTGTCGACCACTATCTCACAATTCAAAGCACAAATTATCAAGGTGACTGCCTTACATGCTTTATCAAAGTCCAAAATTGGCCATCGATGTTAACATCAGGCGTCGGCAGCGTCGGCGGCGTCAACGCGAGTGATGCACAAAAATCATGTGATGATGTCACCATTAAATGAGCCGATCGTGGAGCCAGTGCCAAAGCAGGTGAGCTTCAAAAATCTTGCAGTTCCTTCTATTCTGATGGCATCTGCAACCTCATTGGTAAGGAGAGCTTCGCGGGAGGGTACAGGACTAATACATGTATTGCCTAAGAGCGAAAATAATAATACGTCTTTCGCCTTCTAATCACTTTGGAGAATACAGAAGAGATCCTTTCAGTTTTTGGAAAAAGCGCATTGAAATACAAACTCTTACCAGCGTTCGATTTTTTTGCGTATGACGCCGCGGCTGAAATTTTTTGGTTGTGAAATTCTTTCATAAAATTAAATTGCGCACCGGCAATGAAAAAGAAGTTGCATCCAGATAGCGGCAGAAGGAGACACGGATTGACGTCCAGGATTGTGGTGTCGGAAAGCTCGTAGTCCGGCTCTTCGTCACCCTCGGAGTCCGCGAATAGCGCCGATTCCAGCACGGGAGAGAATGGCATCGGGGCACCAGTTCCCACCGTGGGTACGCCACGACTTGCAACATTTCAGCAACCGCGAAGCCTGGGCCAGACCAATGGTAAAGGAATTTGCAGAAGCAGGTTGTGCAGTCTGACCTACAGCGAAGGCAGGGCCATAGCTAGTGGGAACAGCACCCACAGCCGTAGCAGGAGCAGCAGCCGGGGCAACCACCTGGATTTGGAGTCACGGTAGCGTTACCCGCCTGGGATGGCAGGCCCTTGGCAGCAGGCCCTAGAGGGCAAAGAGCAGCACATTGCAGAGAGAGCAATCAAGGGGGAAAATATTTACGGATACCGATATATTTGCTCAATAAAGTTTTCCCAAACTAAACCTATATATTTGCTTAGGGTTACTCAAAGGCGAAAGATGTCTTTTTACTGCTCAGTCGATTGTATTATACCCCCGCGCACCCCTCCTGAAATGGTTTGTGCCTTACATGGTTTAGCACTGCATAAGGGATCTAAGGCAGTGCAAGCCCAATTGGGATGCCCCCCAATTTTGCCCTAGATACGTGGTCGGCGCACGTATGTATGTATGTATGTATGTATGTATGTATGTATGTATGTATGTATGTATGTATGTATGTATGTATGTATGTATGTATGTATGTATTGTATGTATGTATGTATGTATGTATTGTATGTATGTATGTATGTATGTATGTATGTACGTATGTATGTATGTATGTATGTATGTATGTATGTATGTATGTATGTATGTATGTATGTATGTATGTATGTATGTATGTATGTATGTATGTATTGTATGTATGTATGTATGGCTCACTTTATTGAGCCTCCGGTCCCCATCACCTGCTCTCACCGAAGCAGGCGATAAGTTTGCTCGTATCAGACATTTTTTATTTATGCTCATGTCATTTCTTGTCTAAGCAATGGGCTCTTTCGTATTGTTCAGTGCTTTGTTACATAATTTTTAGTTCTGAGTGCCATGTAGTACTTGCGAATTTATTCGCACTCTTCCAGCGTGGCTGACCATCACCTTTATCCCACTTTGTCATGTTGGCACCTCATCAAGCTGCTCATGCTTTCAGTCTTGTACTTAAGAGGTCTAAAGGATACATAACTGAATGATTGTGTATATTTGAATAATTCATTGATAGATCAATCGATTGATTTTCGTGGCCTCTAGTAGGCTAGTCATTGACGAATAGATGGCTTTGTGAACCTAATGCAACCTGCAGTAAGACGGTAAGATGGACCACTTGGCTGGAATCTATCGTGAACTTGTTTACAGCGAAACACCAGAAACACAGGACGGGTAAGGAGCAAAAGAAAAAGAAAAGACGGCGCTAACGAACAACAGTTCTGAGTCAGCGCCGTGTTTTCTTTCTCTTTTGCTCCTTCCTTTTTCTGTGTTTCTGGTGTTGCGCTGTAAAGAAGTTCACAGTAATGTAACCTGATGGGTGCAAAGATGTAACAACGGACAGTGTCGTACCAGGAAGACGGCTCTATGCATGTGAGCCTTGGTCCCACACTCTCAAGTTTTGGTATTGTTTTATTCCTGGTGTGTTTGTGGTACAGATTTATTCGTTGAATATCCGCGTTCTCGTCTGTTTGCACAGCTGTTAGAGCAGTTTCCACTTCGATGCAACAAAGAAGCTTGATAAATATTACACTTTTTTACAGGAAACGCACCTTGAGCTTGTGATGGGCGAGCAGTTGACGGAGGCATTGCAGCCGTTGGTGGAACAGGCTGTGACGAACGTGGCACAGAAGGTCGCTTCCCACTCGCAGTTGGACCCTACGATGTCCCATTCATCAAAAAGTGTTACCAGTTGCTTCTATGGTAGCTTCTGAGGTGTCTTATAGCTTTATATAGGAATGTATCATTGTATATATATATTCGCTTTACATCATTCTTGACCAAAGATTGTTATGAAGCTTTGTATGCAGAGATTGCCTTTCGGGCAATCCGGGGTAATTCTTAAACAATACGATAAACAGTAAAGCTGTCTTCCCTAAAGCTTGACAAGGCTAATGGCCCACGCATTCGCAACGTCGCATAGTGACCAGAAATTTATTAAAAAGAATAATGTATGAATTTCCACTGAATGTCGCCTATGTATAAATATCTAAGAAAATAAATTTTAGGGTATTGCGTTTGTGATATGAACACGC